TCTATAAACCTTAAATTCATTTTCAATTAGCCTAAAAAGGGCTGCTTTCCAGTCTCTCTTCTTTTAAATTTAAATACAATGAAGGCAAAAACTCATCAAAAATATGATGAGACAAAAAATAAGTGATTGCCAGAGGTAGTTTGGGGAAGAGATGAATAGACAGAGCAGAGAGAATTTTTAGGGCAGTGAAAATACTCTGTATGGTATTACAACGATGACCAAGATTGAACCCTAAGGTAAAGTAATGGGCTTCAGGTGACTATGATGTGTTAACATACTATATATATATGGCTATACATGTGTGGGGACAAGGGATACACGGGAAACCTCTGTACCTCCCTCTCGATTGTGTTGTAAATCTCAACCTGCTCTTAAAAAAAAAAATAGTTTTAAACAATAATTTAAAAATTTAACTGTAACTTACGTGTCATGGTAAAAGGGAAGAAAAACACCTTTGCTAACTATAGTCTTTTCTCATTAATAGGGAGTGGTCTTAAGACACAGTGAATTCCACTGGCTAATTATTACTGGAAAAAACAATTTAGTAGCGACTCTACACAAAAATGAAGGCAAAAGGAGAAGAGGGAGGCAGAGAATGAGATGGTTAGATAGTATCACCAACTCATTGGGTGTGAGTTTGAGAAAACTCTAGGAGATAGCGAAGGACAGGGAAGCCTGGAGTGCTGCAGTCCACAGGGTCACAAAGAGTCAGACGTGACTTCAAGACTGGACAACTATGTAAAATCTAATCATTTCACCTGGCAGACACTCCCTTTGGTTAAAGTAGAATACAAAAGTGTCCCACAAGTGGGACACCATCCGTGCGGCCAGTCAGGGCTACATTCTGAGTTAACTCCTCCTGACCCAGGCAACTGTCTATACGCCTGTCTACATACAGTCTCCCCAACTTTCAACTCTTCCACTGGTGAGGCAGGGCCTCGCCATCAGAATAAGACATATGCTTTGTCACCTTAGTCGCTCAGTCATGTCTAACTCATTGTGACCCCACGGACTGTAGCCTGCCAGGCTCCTCAGTCCATGGAATTTTCCAGACAAGATACTAGAGTGGGTTGCCATTCCCCTTCTCCAGTGGATTTTCCCAACCCGGGTATCGAACCTGTGTCTCCAGCAATGCAGGCAGGTTATCATCTGAGGGGCCAGGGAAACCCTGAAGAAGGGCCCATCTGATGGCTAACATGCCCTCACTGCTCCTGAGGCCAAACAGGGCTCATGCTTTTGGCGCAGAGCTCTGGAGTGTTAAGTGAAATACTTGGTCCGGCACTTGAGCAGATTAAAAAGTCCTTTTTGAAAAGGTGTTTGACTCTGACTGCAAGCCTCTGTGTGGCCTAGCCTGGCAGGGGAATGAACGTCCGTGTGTGGGCAGGGATAGATTCCTAGAGCAGGAGCCAAGCCCCTGGCTGTGTGTCCGCTGCAGAAATCATCTAGAATGGACCTCTTTCATTAATAACCTTTGGCATCTAGGAAGCTACTCCAGTTGGTAGCACAGCACAGTGGAAAGAACACAGATTTTAAGGCCGGATTCCTGATTCTGCCACTTTCTGTGTGACTTTCAACAAGTTACAGGATCTTTTCAGGCTTCGGGTTTTCTTACTTGCAAGAACTGGGATGGTTTGCACAGGACTGTTATATGCAAATGGAAGTAGGTTACTTACGCAAAGGGCTGGGCACACAGATTTTAAATAATTACTGATTCTCTTCTTGCTCTGACTTCCCTTCTCTTCTTTCCGAGCCACAAATAACAGCTTACATTTATTGAGTGCTGTCTAGGAGCCGAGCACTGCCTTAGCCACATGTACTCCTCACCTCACCCCCATGTGATGCTGTCATTCCAGCCATTACATCCGTCTGCTTGGGCTGCCATATAAAATATCAGAGGCTGAGTAGCTGAAATAATAGAAGTTAATTTTCTCACAGTTCTGGGAGCTGGCGGTCCTGGATCAAAGCGTTGGAGAGTCTGGCTTCCCCCAAGGCCTCCCTCTGGCTTGTCGATGGCTACTGTTTCCCCACATGGCCCTAACCCCTTTGTGTGTGTGCCTCGGTGTCTCCTCCTCTTCTTATGATGACACCGGCCACATTGGATTAGGCCCCCACTCTTACGACCCTAATGGCAGAAAGCAAAGAGGGACTAAAGAGCCTCTTGATGAAAGTGAAAGGAGAGTCGACAAGCTGGCCTAAAACCCAACATTCAAAAAACAAAGATCATGGCATCCAGTCCCATCACTTCATGGCAAATAGAGGGGGGAAAGTGGAAACAGTGGCAGATTTTATTTTCTTGGGCTTCAAAATCACTGTGGACAGTGACTGCAGTCATGAAATTAAAATATGCTTGTTCCTTGGAAGGAAAGCTATAACAGACCTAGACAGCATATTAAAAGGCAGAGACCTCACTTTGCAGACAAAGGTCCATATAGTCAAAGCTATGGTTTTTCCAGTAGTCACGTATAGATGTGAGAGTTGGCCCATGAAGAAGGCTGAGTGCTTGAGTTAATGCTTTTGAATTGTGGTGTTGGAGAAGACTCTTGAGAGTTCCTTGGACTGCAAGGAGATCAAACCAGTCAATCCTAAAGGAAATCAACTCTGAATATAAATTGGAAGGATTAATGCTGAAGCTGAAGCTCCAATCCTTTGGCCACCTGATGGGAAGAGCTGATTCATTGGAAAAGACCCTGATGCTGGGAAAGAATGAGGGTAGCAGGAGAAGATGGCTGGATAGTATCACCGACTCAGTGGACATGAGTTTGAGCAAACTCCGGGAGATAGTGAAGGACAGGGAAGCACGGGGTGTTACAGTCCAGGGAATCAGAAATATCTGAGTGACCAAATAGCTTATGATTGCTGCTGCTGCTGCTGCCAAGGCACTTCAGTCAAGTCCGACTCTGTGCGACCCCATAGACGGCAACCCATCAGGTTCCTCTGTCCCTGGGATTCTCTAGGCAAGAATACTGGAGTGGATTGCCATTTCCTTCTCCAGGGGCTCTTCCGAATCCAGAGATCCAACCCTCATCTCCTACATTGGCAGGTGGATTTTTTACTCCTGAGGTACTAGGGAAGCCCTATTGTCAATGACTAACTATATATTCAGTCATGGGCTGTCCTAGAATTTGACAAAAACTGAAATGAAAATTCAAGGTGAAAGATAGGACAAGCCTAGACAAGGTAGAGTCCTACCGCCCATTTGTGACTTGGAGTTCCATTTTTCAACATAAACTGTAATATGCCAATTTAATAAACATTCATTTATTTTCAGCAAAGCCCAGATTCCTTTGGTTCCCACTGCAGAGCCTTTTCAGAAATACTTATGAGAATTACCATAGAGAAAATGATCCAAGGTGTTTGCTGTCTTGGTCAGCTGGGCCCCCCATAATAAATACTACAGGCTGAGTGGCTTAAACAACAGAAATTTATCTCCTTGCAGTTCTGGAGCCTGGAGTTCTGAGATCAGGACAGCAGCATAGTTGACTTCTGGCTTGCAGACAGCTATCATCTCACTGTGTGCTCACAGATTACAAATCTTCTGGGCTCCCCTCTTAGAAGGGTGCTAAATAAAGCATGAGGGCCCCACCCTCATGACTTCATCTAAATCTAATTATATCTCAAAGGTCCTATCCAAATACTACCACATTGGGCTTCAACATATGAATTTTAGGGACACAATTCAGTCCATGTGTGCACATGTGCTAGGTCTCTTCAGTCATGTGTGACTCTTTGCTACTTTATGTACTGTATACCATCATGCTCTGCTATCCATGGGATTCTCCAGGCAAGAATATTGGAGTAGGTAACCATTTCCTACTCTAGAGGATCTTCCTGACCCAGAGATTGAACCCACATCTCCTGCATTACTGGCGAATTCTTTACTACTGAGGCATCTGGGAAGCCCTGAGAATCTCATACTTAGAGCTTAAAGCAATGGTTCTCAAAAGGAATAGATGGGTTGAAAATCAACCTTGTGGGGTTGCAAAGTTTAGAAGCAAAGAGTAAGATGCTAGGCCAGGGGGTGAGATCCAGTTTTACAGAAGTTAAATGGTTATACTAGGCACTAGCCATGCACCATGACAAAGATATGACTGAAATATTAGTACTGAATAAGTACATGTGGAAAATCTGCTTTTCCCAGGAGAGAGAAACTAATTTGGCAATCCTTGAAAGACTTAAAAGCCTTGATAGTGTTAGCCTCTACTCAAGTTACAACTTGCATCAAACATCAAAGAGATTTCAGCTGTGTTGAGGTGGTTGCATTGGCCGCCATGTTTTCTCTCATATGGATTGCTGTGTAGATTAGGTGATTTATTTATAACTGGATCTATTCAACATGGAATTGATTCATCAGAGCCATAATTATTGAATAAATAAATGCTTTTGACCTCAGTATTTGCCTTGACCAGTTCAGTTCAGTCACTCAGTTGTGTCCGACTCTTTGCGACCCCATGGACTGCAGCATGCCAGGCCTCCCTGTCCATCACCAACTCCTGGAGTTTACCCAAACTCATGTCCATTGAGTCGGTGATGCCATCCAACCATCTCATCCTCTGTCATCCCCTTCTCCTCCCACCTTCAATCTTTTCCAGCATCAGGGTCTTTTCCAGTGAGTCAGTTCTTTGCATCAAGTGGCCAAAGTATTGGAGTTTCAGCTTCAACATCAGTCCTTCCAATGAACATTCAGGACTGATTTCCTTTAGGATGGACTGGTTTGATCTCCTTGCAGTCCAAGGGACTCTCAGGAGTCTTCTCCAGCACCGTACTTCAAAAGCATCAATTCTTTGGCACTCAGCTTTCTTTCTAGTCCAACTCTCACATTCATACATGACTACTAGAAAAACCATAGCCTTGACTAGACAGACCTTTGTTGACATCCATACATGACTACTGGGAAAACCATAGCCTACCTTGATCATACAACTTATTTTTTAATAGAAAATATTAGGACATTAATTTTACATCCATGCCTCGAATCACTTGATATTTCAAAAAGATGATACCTTTCTTCTTTGAGTTGGGTAAGTATTCATGCTCTTCTTTGACAGAGATTTTGCAACTCTTGATTCGACAGAAAAAAGATCGTCTTGAGCCAGAATACACACGATTCTTACTTGTGCGGAAATTACTGTGAACTTGCAAAGCAGCTTTCATAGTGCAAGGAGGCAAGAGAATAGGAAGAAAATAATGTTTTCAAATAATTTTTAAATGTATTTCCTCATGTGTTCTGGTCATCTATGGTTATGGACATCATTGTACAGCAAACCCCAAAGTGAAACACACCAAAAAATGTATTATAATTACTTGCAATTTATCTTTATATTTTTCCCCAGGGGGCAGATAGTAAAGATAACATAAACAAAATAAAAATTACATGAAAAAACTTAACTAAAATAGTATCAGTGGCATAAAACATCATTATTTTATATGATAAACAATTATTAGGCAATAAGTAGTTTCAGAGAAAAGAAGTATTTCTGGAAAAGGTAGAGAATATGTATACTTCCCAAGAACAATTATACAAGGTCTTTCACATTGAGAAGACCTGACACATTTGAGAAAGAGAATAGTTATCCCTCAGCAAACAACTAAATAATAAAAAACTCCAGCAATTTTTTTTATCCCGAATGATACTTTCCAATAAAGATTTTATTAGCATATGAAAGCTAGAGACTATGAAGTAATCACATTTTCCCAAAAGCATCTTCATATATTTGCTTTGATACACGAATTCTCTATATAGTCATATTTTTAAAACTGAGGTTGATGATTATAAAGTTATTAAATAATTCTCCCCTCGATAAAACTATAATTAACTAACTTTTCAAAAAACGATATTGTTGTACTTTTAAGTTAAGAATTATATTTTCATAAAATGATAAGGTTGAAATGAGTACTTACTTTTGGCGTCTATTAGCTTCTCTCTGGGTGAAATATCAGAGGAAGAAAGTTGTTCCTTTACTTTGGAAACATCTTTTGGATGTAAGAAGTCAAATAAGCTTTGTCCAATCAAACTAGCCTATTTATAAGGTAGAAGTTCATTTAAAATCAGTATCATGTTATTTCTGTTTCCTCAAACAAACAAATGATACTGTTTCTTTACTTAAAGTGGCTTTTTCTTAAGCTTGGATAGATCAGCTACACTGGGTGAAGTTACCTTAGTGTTAAAAGCAGAGTAAAACTTGTAGACAAAAAAAAAAGTACATATACACAGACCCATAATTGGATACACACAAATCACATACACACACCTAGTAACTAACATTTTATTTAAACTTAATCATTGGTAAAAGTGGTAAAGAAAAAAAAAGTGGGCTTCCTGAGTAGCTCAGTTGGTAAATAATCCACCTGCAATGCAGGAGACCCCAGTTTGATTCCTGGGTTAGGAAGACCCCCTGGAGAAGGGATAGGCTACCCACTCCAGTATTCTTGGGCTTCCCTTGTGGCTCAACTGGTAAAGAATCCACCTGTAATGAGGGAGACCTGGATTTGGTCCCTGGGTTGGGAAGATCCCCCGGAAAAGGGATAGGCTACCCACTCCAGTATTCTGGCCTGGAGAACTCCATGGACTGTATAGGCCATGGGGTCACAATGAGTCAGACACAACTGAGCAAATTTCACTTTTCACTTTCACTTTCATTGGTAAAAGTAAAAATATTATATTACAGAATAATATAAAAGACACAGAATACCTATGATCTCATGATGTGACTCAGAAATTTACCATACTGCCTTAAAAAATTACCACACTATTCGTAAAGCAAACCCAAGTTGGTACACCTCCTACTTGGCATTTCACTTCTCCCCACATGCAGAGCATTCCTTGGCCCATGACTTTGTTTGCATGGTCTCATCACCTGGAAATCACTGCCTCTTCTCTATAAATTCAGCTCCCTGGCCAAGCTAGCCAACTGCCTTTTACTCCCTAACTTCCAAGATTCCCTTTCCAAACCTGAAATGTCTTCCTCCTCCTCTCTGCTCTAAACTAGCAGACATTCTACTTCACATGTGAAGCTCACAGTGATCACTCTCTTCTGAACTCCTTTATTACCCAAGTAGACCTTCCTAGGGAAGGCAGAACAAATGGACCAGCTGGTCCAAGTGGCCTGGAGTGCTTGGCAGTTAAATCAGTATAGTTCAGTCACTCAGTCATGTCCAACTCTGCGACCCCAGAGACTGCAGTACATCAGGCTTCCCTGTCCATCATCAACTCCCGGAGCGTGCTCAAACTCATGTCCATTGAGTCGCTGATGCCATCCAACCATCTCATCCTCTGTTGTCCCCTTCTCCTCCTGCTTTCAGTCTTTCCCAGCATCAGGGTCTTTTCCAGTGAGTCAGTTCTTCACATCAGGTGGCCAAAGTATTGGAGTGTCAGCTTCAGCATCAGTCCTTCCAGTGAATATTCAGGACTGATTTCCTTTAGGATGGACTGGTTGGATCTCCTTGCAATCAAGAGTCTTCTCCAACATCACAGCTCAAAAACATCAATTATTCGGCACTCAAGCTTTCTTTATAGTCCAACTCTCATATCCATACATGACTACTGGGAAAACAATAGACTGATGTATAAATCAGATCGCTAGTTTTTTTCTTTTTTTTTTTTAAGACAGATAGCTCTACTTAAAAAAAAAAAAAGCTAGCAATCTGATTTATATATTCAGTCTATTGTGTGATTGGCTAATATATAAGTCTATGCCCAGAACTCTGCTTCAGAGCAAATTAGTTTTTTTTTTTAATTGAAGTATAGTTGATTTACAATGTTGTACCAATCTCTGCTATACAGATAGATCAGATTTCTGAAGCTGAAAAGCTGAGGACAAGACCCTGTACCATGGGGACCCTGAAGTCCTCCTGAGCAGTCAGTGAATCTCTTGGTCTCTGAAATGCAAAGTCAGTGTCCAGTGGGACTGGACTCCATGTCACTAATGTGGAACTTAAGAGCTATCTTAAACTGTCAAGTATCTTGGTGTGTGCCTATGTGAGTGATGTTCTCTATTTCTAATTAGAAAATATAATAATCAAATCAGCTGCATGATTCCTTTGGTCTTCACTCCTTTCATATGTAGGCTTATACTATTTCTTTTATTTAACTCATTATCTATGAATGCCTTCCATCTCTCCATATTTTCAAGTTTTGGGGAAAATATAGGTTGAGATTGATGAGAGCTATTTATGACCAAAGCTGTTATCTTTATATCTATTACATATTATAATATATACATATTATATTATTTTACTGTATTTCTGTTTTAAAGGAGACCACAAGTACTAGTTTATTCTCTCTGTTAGTTTCAATCCTATAGTTTTTGAGTAACTAGTTTAAATTAAATGGTGTTCAAAAATGAGGAGACAAATCAATCACAGTGCTGGTTAAATAAAGGATGTATTTCAGAATTTGTTGCCAGAGCCTAGAGCCAAAGCTGTTTTGCAATGCATATAGCTTAATAAATATTAATGCTCTCTCTTAGAGGAAACAGGCAAGGGTGACTAATATCTTTCCAACACTCAAATATGATATCTTATTTAATGCGTTTATATCCTGAAAAACAGGTATAATCATGATTTCCATTTTTTACATAGGAGGAAGCTAAGGTTCAAGAAAATGAAAGAATTTGCTAAAGGAAGTAAATACTCCTGTCAGTAACAAAAATTCATACTCTTTCCACATATCTTGCCATCTCTCTTGAAATTCTAACTCAGCAGAACCCAATCCCACAACCCAGGGGGAAGAAAGAGTTCAGAAAAAGAGCTTCAAAATAAACATAGTAAGAAATATTCTCAGTTTTGGATACCTGATCATAATTAAGTATTTTGGAGACCGATTTAGAAACGAAGAGAATTTTTCCTCTTTCACATCCAACCACAAATAGGAAGCCTTCTGCAGTCTAGGATTTAAAAATATAATACAAGGTGAATATTTTAAAAGGTCTTGAGGGAAATGTGGTTCACTGATTTATGTAGGTATAGACATTAGATTTATTTTGCTCTTCTTGATGTATTAACCTACCCACAGTTTAAATTCTAACCAGCATTGTAAACAATTCAAAAACAAGTTAATTTGATTGTTAATGGGTAGAGTTTCTTTTGAAGGTGATGACAATGTTCTAAAATTGCACTGTGGGAGTTTCCTGGTGGTCCAGTGGCTAAGAGGCCATGCTTCCAATGCAGAGGGCCCAGGTTCGATCCCTAGTCTGGGAACAAGATCCCACATGCCACAATTAAGACTTCTCAAGCCTCAACTAAAGATCACATGTACCACGGCTAAGACCTGGTGCAGTCAAATAAATAAATATTTAAATTTTTTCTTTAAAAATGATGAGTTGCATTGTGATTATGATTGCATAACTCTGTGAATATACTAAAAACCATATGGTATGTGAATTATCTCAAAGAAAGGAGTTAAACAAAAAATAAAATAAAAGATCTTTTGTCTCTCTTATACATACACATTCAGATTTTGAGAAAATTATTGTAGCAATAAAACTAAAGAGTAGTCGTAAGAGCTAGTAAAGTTAATTTTAAGAAATTTTCTCATTATATAAAAAGATTGATAACATCAAATTGAACTCCAGTCAAAACTAAAGTTTTTGATCTGGAAAGTCCAGGTATGTATTATTAAATTGAAATATTTCATAATATAAAAATTACCTGTGTCAAATTCTATACTCATATAGAAACTGTAAACATATAAAAACACATCCATAACAGTTGCCTGTGGATGTGAGATGGAAGGACTGTGCAGACTGGGATAAAGGAAGCATCAGGAATACTATATTTGAATTCAGCTGTTCAGATAAAAAATGGGCTCTTAAAAAAATTAAAGGACAAATGTATATAAAATCTTTCTATTTAGTCATACTAAGGCATAAAGCCTGGTAGTAACAGCATAAGATCAAGAAACATATTGCCTCCTGGGGGCAGGATAAGCCAATGACATGGTCATATTTTCCACATCAAGTAAACCTCTAGACCAGTGAATCTGATGCATTTGAAATGATGAGGACAGAAATGGCAAAGCATTGACTAACAACCCATTCAGTAAGCAGTGGCTGGCTCTGCAGAGGATAGGATACTGAAGGAATTGAGTACAAGATAGATGGCTTTGAAGGGGGGGGTAATAGTGGGGCACAGAGCTTACAGTGTGGGAGGTGAGCTTGTCAGGAAGCATAAGGAGCTTAGCGTTAAAGACTAGCTATACTCTCTGCTTTGGAATATGCCCATCCTCTGCCTCTACATTCATTAGCTCAAACTAATAAGACACGGGCTTCCCTGGTGCCTCAGATGGTAAAGAATCTGCCTGCAATGTGGGAGATCTGGGTTCGATCCCTGTGTTGGGAAGATCCTCTGGAGGAGGGAATGGCAACCCATTCCAGTATTCTTGCCTGGAGAATTCCTTGGACAGAGGAACCTAGCGGGCTATGGTCCAGGAGGTTGCAAAGAGTCGGACACAACTGACACAGTTACTTGTATAACTTAAATTTTTATCTTAAAGGAAATTTGGCATAATATAGATTCCTGTACAACAGTAAGTGAACTGAAGAAAATCTTCCTCCCATTCAGACAAAAATGAAAGGACAATACAACTTAGACAACCATATCTCTTTACTTACCTTAAGAATTAAGTGTCTGAGCTCATTATCGTGAATGAATGAAGGTCTGTCATTATTTCCTGCGTAAGAACTTGTCATACCTAAAAATAAAGAAGTCACATAGTTAACTGAAAATCAAGTAGAGATGGAAATATAGTAAATGCTCAGTGAATATTAGCAAATTCTGGGGCTGCTATTGGTGATGACAAGGATGATGGTATTTCTCTTCTAGCATACTCTAAGATCTCTTCTACAATTATTCTCTTTCTTTCTTGTTACTAGATTGCAATTTCCTGCTTTCAAATAAATTCTTAGAGCTACTTATTCCTTTATACACAGATGTACAGACAGTAAAAGCTGTATATTGAAAATAGATAAAAATGCAATATATTATCTATAAAATTGTAATAACACACAACAATATTCAAGACTCTGGTTATTTTATAATCTCTTAGCTTCCTAAAACTGATCATATGGTGATCCAGTGGTTAAAGGAATCTGCCTTGCAATGCAGGAGATGTGGGTTCAATTCCTGGTTGGGGAACTAAGATCCCATATGCCTTGGAGCAGCTAAGCCCACTTATTGCGCCGCAACTACTGAAGCCTGAACGCTCTGGAGTCCGTGTGCACAACTAGAGAGCCCAAGCACAATACCGAAAGAGTGTACATGATGTAACAAGGATCCCACATGCTACAACTAAGACCAGAGGTAGCCAAATAAATAATAAAAAATACTCCTTTCAAAAGACAAAAAAAAAAACCACCTGATCATATGAATTATCCTGAATAGGGAGATTATTGAATCCTAAGCAAATTTTCTGGATTCATAGGATTTTCTATATGACCCTTTAAAGACTATATGGAGACTTCTGACAGTATATAAAATGTATAAAATATAAGTGAAATCATTCATTTTAAGCCCTTTCACAGAGTTCATTGTATTGAAAGGAAAGTCTCTAAAGCAACCAGAAGAGTTTGGAAAAGGGTAAGGAATGATCAGATCAGTTCAATTAAGTTCAGCTGCTCAGTAGTGTCTGACTCTTTGCGACCCTAGAGACTGCAGCACACCAGGCCTCCCTGTCCACCACCAAATCCCAGAGCTTGCTCAAACTCATGTCCATCGAGTCGCTGATGCCATCCAACCATCTCATCCTCTGTCATCCCCTTCTCCTCCCACCTTCAGTCTTTCCCAGCATCAGGGTCTTTTCCAATGAGTCAGTTATTCGCATCAGGTGGCCAAAGTATTGGAGTTTCAGCTTCAACATCAGTTCTTCCAATGAATATTCAGGACTGATTTCCTTTAGGATGGACTGGTTGGCTCTCCTTGCAGTCCAAGGGACTCTCAAGAGTCTTCTCCAACACCACGGTTCAAAAACATCAATTCTATGGCACTCAACTTTCTTTATAATCCAACTCCCACATCCATTTATGACTACTGGAAAAAACATAGCTTTGATTAGACAGACCTTTGTTGCTTTTTAAAATGCTGTCTAGGTTTGTCATAGAGCAAGGAGCAAGCGTCTTTTAATTTCTTGGCTGCAGTCACCATCTGCAGTGATTTTGGAGCCCCCAAAAATAAAGTCTCATGGTCTCCATTGTTTCCCCATCTATTTGCCATGAAGTGATGGGACTGGATGCCATGATCTTCGTTTATTGAATGTTGAGTTTTAAGCCAGTTTTTTCACTCTCCTCTTTGACTTTCATCAAGAGGGTCTTCAGTTCCTCTTCATTTCCTGCTATAAGGGTGGTGTCATCTGTGTATTTGAGGTTATTGATATTTCTCCCAGCAATCTGATTCCAGCTTGTGCTACATCCAGCACGATGATCAGGTCAAAGCTAGGTAGAAGTTTGAGCTGAGAGAAGTAAGGGAAGAACTAAAAGTAATACATTTGTCTTGAGGACATCCACCAAGTCTTACAGGGAAAGCCCTCCACGGCCACAAGGGGGCGCAGAGGACTGTTCACCCGGCCCAGGTGTGCTGTCCCCAGGTAACTAAGCAAGGGTGATTCAAAAGTAAATCAAATTTCCCTTCCTTACACTTCCCACTTTCCCTAAACAGCAGCCCCTCTTTCTAGGGACTGCAAATAAAGATGTTTTTGCAAAAAACACACACACATACACAAAAACAAAAAAAGATGGGGGTAACACTAACACAGGTTAACCATTAACTGGCCTTTGGATAAATTTACAGCCAAAGCTCACCAATTACCTGGGGCTTCCCTGGTAGCTCAGATGGTAAAGAAAGTGCCTGTAATGCAGGAGAAGCAGATTCGAGCCCTGGATTGGCAAGATCCCCTTGGAGAAGGAAATGGCAACCCACTCCAATATTCTTGCCTGGGAATCCCATGAACTGAGGAGCCTGGCGGGCTACAGTCCATGAAGTTGCAAAGAGTTGGACACGACTTAGCGACTAAACCACCACCACCAATTACCTAAGTGGTGGGGAAAGAACAAAACCAGAAAATAAAACATCCTCATAGAATGATTTGGTAAAGTCTTCTCAGACTGGCAGCACCCTTACAAGGCCTGACATAAGCAAAAGAAAGCTATTTTGGAATCTACCTTCTAGGTAGCCCTCAAAGAATCTCCCCACACGACTTCTTGTTATTATAATTATTGTTATCAGTCCCCAGGAGACTTGTAGGAGGGAGTTGAGAAAAGGCTAAAGATGCAGACCTGAGTGCCCAGCTGGCACGGGAATAAATCAGTGTGATCGAGGCAGTGACACTTGCAGGCGGGTCTGAAGCGAGGTTTGCAGAACTGTGCTGAGGTAACCCGGCCGGTGTCAGTCAGCCAGAGTGGGTGGGCCCTGGCTAAATAGATGTGAGGATATGCCAGCGAGGAAAAGGGGGCGGTCAGTGTAGCGCTGAAGTTAGGGTGAAGTGAGCTAACAATGCATGGTGTGCGATTCTGTCTAGTGGCAAAAACAAACGCGGAACATGATCACTTCCTTTTATGAAGTTCTTCATTGTCATTTATTGTCCCTTTGTTTTATTGTGCTCTTCATCATCATTGCAAATGACAGTATGACAATAATAATGACAATGGCCATTATAACGATGAGGATAACAAGGACCAATATGCCAACAACAACTCTTCTTCCTCATCCTCGGACCGCCACCTCCACCATTAAGAGACACTGCGCTCGAGGACCTCCCTGAGGACCTGCCTCAGGGAAAGGAAAGGCTACCCACTCTAGCACTCTTGCCTGGAGAATTCCATGGACGGAGGAGCCTGGTAGGCTGCATACAGTCCACGGGGTTGCAGAGAGTCCAACACGACTGACAGACTAACATACACACACATGGAAATGTAAAACTGTTGGGGCATACCAGCCTATGAGCGTTTTCCCCTTAATTAATTGTGCTATATTTTACAATGGATAGGGAAGGGAAATACTTGCCCTTTCCCCAGATAATTTGAGATGCACTGCTGTAGAATGTAGAGAAAAAAATCATTTCACATCCTTTGTCTTCAGAGTAATTATCTGTGGACCATCTACATGCAACCCTCTCATGGCATCTGGGCATTTGGGGATGGAATTGGGGTACCCTCTGGCCAGAGCACTGGAATGCAGCCCCAGCTGCTCTATGTCATCTCACCCATGTCACCTATGGGTAACACTAAGGATCTGGTCAGGATGTCTGATGAGGATATGACCAATTCGCTTCAGTTTACAAGGATCAATGGTGAAATCTATGTTCTGTTCCAAAGTACCCTGTCCTTTTCCTTTCCTGTCTAGATTTAGACAGTGTCTCCTCCTTACTGAGTTCACCCTGCGGCTCATCCCATGCATACTTCCACATAGCATTTATCACACTGGGTGCTAATGATCTCTCCCTGGGTCTATCTTCCTTATAAACCATGTAAGCCTGCCCCTAGCGCAGAGCTCTTGCCTCATTCATTTGCCTAGCCCCAGCACAGAACAAGAACCCAGCGGATGCTCAGTGCATACTTATTGAATTAGGTTGCTGATTCATAGCTTTTCCCTCAGGTCCTCCTCCCTCAGAATGCTGTGAATGTGAAAACTGTTGGGCAATTTTAGGGTTGCAATCAAATGACCTCAGTTGAACCTGCTAATGTTCATTGCTAACAGATTTAAGAGATTTATTGCACACAACTTACGCAAGGCCTAGTTGTGAATAAAAGAGAATCTTCTTTCACAATGGACTGTTACGAACAAAAGACCACCAGTCGTGCTCCCAGAAGGAAGCCTGCCAGGCAGTCCCCCAACCCCAGGGCTGCTGTACATATGGATGGAGAGCTGTCCTCGCTTTTCCCCACAGCCTGCTCTCCAGACCTACTCGAGCTCGGCTGGAGCGCATAAGCCAGTTTTCTACCATCTGCAGATACCTAAGGAAGGTGCTTTAAAGCACAACTTGCACAAACTACTATTAAACAGCCCTGTAATAGCTGTCTCTAGTTTTACTTCCTAATGTGTAGATGCCCCTTCCTCCTCCAATCTGAGTTGATCTGTCAGGATTTTTTGGTTCATTATGAAGTAAGATCCTCTTGGTCTGGGCTCCAGTTTGCATGTGGAATCCAGGTAATACCACTCTCCTCTAAGCCACTTTAACTCAACTTGGCAAAATCTGTGTTCTGGCCACAGAACTTCCTTTTCCCTGAAACAGACTGTCCTTTTCCTGGCAAGCAGTTCAGGACAGAGACCTAAATAAGACTGTTGGCCTTCCTTTGTTTATTCTTTTTAATACTTTTGGAGCAAGATTTCACAAAAATCTTTTAGATCTTTACAAATCTGAACCTTCAGAGTCTCCTCTGCAGTCTGCAGAAAACTCACTGGCCAGGTCTTCAGACTGTATCAAAATGAATTTATGTCACCAACAATCTTGTATCTAAAGCCCCAGTCTATTTCCATCATTCTGTCCCTCAAGTTGGACTGGGTTTATTCCCAAAACAGATGTGATTTTAACTACACATGTACGCAGAATGTTTATTACACTTTGATTTAAAATTCAAGTTCAGGGCTTCCCTGACTCAGGGGTAATCCGCCTGCCAATGCAGGAGACATGGGTTCGATCCCTGATCTGGGAAGATCCGCCATGCCATAGAGCTGCCAAGCCCATGCACCACAACTGTTGGGCCTGTGCTCTAGAACCTGGGAGCCACAACTACTGAGCCCATGGGCCGCAACTACCGAAAGCCCCGTGCCCTGCAACCAGAGCAGCCAGCTCAATGCGAAACCTGCACACCACAACTGGAACGTGGCCCCTGCTCACCACAACTACAGAAAAGCCCACACAGCAACAAGACACAGCATGGCCAAAAGTACATAAATAAATAAATAAAATTAGTTTTAAAATTTTTTAGTTCAAAGTCAGAAATGATCACGCATACCCCAATCCTCATCAGCTGAGGACCTCCCTCACCCAATATGTAAGACTATCTTAGTTTATGTGAGACTATATGAGTAAGTGGAGACACATACTAATAGTAAGGTGTGATGCATTTGCAGGTACTACTTACAAGTCTGAATGAAGTTTTAAGAGAAATTGATGAGTTTAAAGAGTTTTTCTTTTCTAACAATGGAAATCTGACAATAACTTAAAATTATCATAGCTAAATATTTCAGAACTTCTAAACTAGGTATGCATGACAGGTATCATCACCTTAATATTATACCTGGGAAGACAAGTAGAAATGTAAAGACTTTTCAAGTTCACATAGTAAACCTAAGATGAAGTGTTTAGTGAAACCAACTTTTCTGACATCCAAATTAGTACCTTCTCCACCTATGGAATATGGATGAGCATCAAAATGAATACCCATAAAGCTGAAAGACGCATGTGTATAAAATCTCAGTAGCCAAGAACAACAAACCAGGAACCTCAATTACAGGGGAGACTTCACAGACCCGAGTGTGGAGGCCATCTTCCAACTCACCTTTTAAAGATCTCAAGTGTTGAACAGCCATTCTTAAAACTGTCAGTTTATCCAGTTTCCGGGCCACAGGACTGCACTGAGGGATCATCGTAGACAGTTTTCCAATCAGGTTGTTTATTTTATCTCTCCTCCGCTTTTCAGTTTGGCTGTGAGCTTCTCTAAGAAGGAGAAAGCGCCTCTGTTATATTTAACATTCAGCAGACACTCAGAGACCCCGGAGGCATTAACAGGAACACGGATGGGGCCAGCAAGCTCCCGTTCTTCTTCCTCCTGACCTTGACCCTGCAGGTGGCATTCAGGGACGAGGCAGCAGCGGCTGGGACAGGAGTGGCATTGTTCACACTGTTTTTACCAGCCTCCACCTCCTGCCCCCACTACCCTTGCTCCTTCCCTTCTGACCTTACTCCCTGAAATCTGCAAGAAATAAGATTTCCCACTCCAGTATTCTTGCCTGGAGAATCCCATGGACAGAGGAGCCTGGCAAGCTATGGTCCATAGGGTCACATGACTGAAGCTGGACATAGGATCGAACACGACTGAAGTGACTTAGCACATGAGAGCTGAGGTGGATTTTTTTTTCCACTTCCCTCTTAGAGGAAGAGATGTGTGTGTGTGCAGAGTCATGCCTAACTCTTTGTGACCCCATGGACTGTAGCCCGCTGGGCTCCTCTGTCCATGGGATTTCCCAGGCAAGAATACTGGAGTGGGTGGCCATGCCTTCTGCAGGGATCTTCCCAACCAGGGGATCAAACCTGAGTCTTCTGCATCTCCTGCATTGGCAGGCAAACTCTTCACCACTGCATCACCCAGGAAGCCCCTGAGAAAGAGATGGGTTGCCTTCTATTCAAAGCTAACTTCTCTGGTCTTCGCTTGAACAGTTACCAGCATCTTGAGCTCACTCTCTTTCACAGCTCCTTCTATGGGTCAATAAAGGGGCTCAAGTCTCTTCCCTTTAGGGGAAAAAAAAACCCATTTTCTCTAAATCTAGTGATTTTTTCCCCCTTCCCTCTTCCCTCCTCAGCCAGCTTCCTGAGGCTGTTGTCTCACTCAACCTTCCATCTCCAGGGTCTCTCCATCTATTAAAGCAACCTCCCATAGCCCCCACTCCATTAAAACCACTCTAGCAGAAGTCACCCTCATGTTATGCAACCCTAGCTGTTCCCTGCCTTGAACTGGACACTGATGCCATTTTTCATTCTTTGTTGGCTTCTGCTCCACCATCCTCCCGCCTCAGCTCTTCCTCTGTCCTTCAGTACTGGTCCCTGAGATCCCTTACTTGGCACTACTCTTCCTTCACCCTATAGCTTCACCCTGAGAGATTGCATTCTCTCAGAAGGCTTTACAGCAACTCATAAGCTACTTAGCCATTTAATCCCTATCTCATTCATACCTCATCCAATTCCAGACCTTCAGAACGAGAAGGATGCACATCAGTGATTCAAAGCACCCTAAAACTCAACAAATCCCAAACTGAATGCATTCTTTGCAACTGGCCTCATTTTAATTCTTCCTCTGCCAGCCCTGATTACTCCTTTTCCTTTTATAGGGCTTATCTTGATTGGTGACACTATTGGACTCATGCTAGACCCTTTATTCTTCTTCACCTGGAAGAACCAAATAATCACAAACTCCTATAAATTCTTGTTTTAAAATTATTTCTTAAAGGTGTCTTTTGCTTCTCTCCATCCACCTGTTACTGTCTTAGGGTTAGTCATCCAGTTGTGTCCAACTCTTTGTGACCCCATGGACTGTAGCCTGCTGGGCTCCTCTGTTCATGGAATACTCCAGGCAAGAATACTGAAATGGGTAGCCATTTCCTTATCCAGGGGGTCTTCCTGACCCAGGCATAGAACCCATGTCTTCTGCACTGGCAAATGGATTCTTTACAATGGTGTCACCTGGGAAGCCCCATGATACTCACTGCAAAACCCCTAAAAGCCTTTGAAATTGATATTACTGCTTCTTCAAGTGTCTTCCTTATCTACTCTATCCTACCCATGGCTTCCAGAATTATTGTTTTAAAATAAAACCATCTAATCCCATGGCATAAAGGGTGTTGGAGAAGACTCTTGAGAGTCCCTTGGACTGCAAGGAGATCCAACCAGTCCATCCTAAAGGAGATCAGTCCTGGGTGTTCATTGGAAGGACTGATGTTGAAGCTGAAACTCCAATCCTTTGGCCACCTGATGCGAAGAGCTGACTCACTGGAAAAGTCCCTGATGCTGGGAGGGATTGGGGGCAGGAGGAGAAGGGGACAACAGAGGATGAGATGACTGGATGGCATCACCGACGCGATGGACATGAGTTTGGGTAAACTCCAGGAGTTGGTGATGGACAGGGAGGCCTGGCGTGCTGCGATTCATGGGGTCGTAAAGAGTCGGACACGACTGAGTGACTGAACAGAACTGAACTGAATCCCATTGCATAAGGGGTGCTAGCATGCATTTTCATTGCCAAAGAGGAAAGTCCAGACTCCCTAATGACATCCCAGTGTTCTCATGACCTGGCTCATGCCTTCATCTCTGGTTTCACCTCTCCATTCCTTCCCTGGATGTTGTAGAGCAGCAATGCCAGATAACTTACTATCCTCCAACACACGAAGTCAGCTCACATGTCCTCTATGTCTTGCACTCTTCTTCTAGGATGAGAATGTCCTTCCTCCCTATGTTCCTGAAAAAAATCCTAGTCCCTCTTCCAAACCCAGGTGACTTATTCTTCTGGGAAGCTCTCTTTAACATCCCTCTCAAAGCCACCTCAGTACTTTGTTTCATTAAACATACCACTACCATATTTCATCAAATCTAAGACACCATTAGCTGTAAGATGCACCATTATCTAGTGCATCACAAAGACAGAAAAATGCTCTCAGTTAATAGGAAGATAACACTGATGATAAGACATGTTTCACAGGTGATGTGAGGGGTGGGTGTATATCTTTGATTTAAAGAATTAGGTTATTCTACTTTTGACATTTTACTGTGAATATTTGTCTGTTTCTCCTACAACATACAGATCATGGCAACTCTGGGGTTTCTATATAAGAAAAGTTTGGGGTAAGTCAATCTAATGGGAAAGGGGAAAAAATAGGAGATTTGCCCTGATCTATTTTTAGAGACTTTAGATGAAGGAGTGGGAGGAAGGGGAGAAGCACAGATAGAGCTAACAACCCCCCTCCCCGTAGCTCCCCCCCCAAAAAAAAAACCATTCACCTTTGGCTAATGCCTGGAATAAAGTCCATGCTTTGTGATGAACAGGATGGCATTCAAATTAAAGTGAAAGTGAAAGTGAAGTTGCTTACTTGTGTTCAACTCTGCAACCCCATGGACGATAGCCTACCAGGCTTCTCCATCCATCGGATTTTCCAGGCAAGAGTACCAGAGTGGGTTTCCATTTCTTTCTCCTGGGGATCTTCCCAAACCAGGGATTGAACCCAGGTCTCCTGCACTGCAGGCAGACGCTTTACCCTCTGAGCCATCAGGGAAGCTACATTCAAATTAAATGTAGATAACTAGGAGCAAGCAAATTGATCCTCAGATTGTGCTCCCCAAAGTCTGAAACTTTGGAAAGGGTCTTGGGAGTCATGTGGAAGAAAGCAGAAATTAAGGGACTCCTGGAGTGGGGGTGGGGTATGATAGAGCTGCTGTTAAGAATTCATTAAGCAAAGGGTTCTGCAGCTTCAAAAATAAAGTTGGCTCATGCATGCATTCATTTATCCATACATAAATGGATGTACTTAGCATACATGAATGCGTATATGAATGGATAACTACTACTTTGAATGCCATCCCGTTCATCCCAAAGTATGTACTTTGTTCCAGGCATTAGCCAGGTCTTTTTTTTGGGGGGGGGGGGTGGTTGTTAGCTCCATCAGTGCTTCTCCCCTTCCTCCCACTCCTTCATCTAAAGTCTCTAAAAATAGATCAGGACAAATCTCCCATTTTTTCCCCTTTCCCATTAGATTGACTTCCCCAAACTTTTCTTATATAGAAACTCTGGAATTGCCATGATCTGTGTGCTGTAGGAAAGACAGACAAATGTTCACAGTAAAATGTCAAAAGTAGAATAACCTAATTCTTGAAATCAAAGATATACACCCACCCCAATATTTTATCATCTGTGAAACATATAGGGCTTCCCTGATTGCTCAGTTGGTAAAGAATCTGCCTGCAATGCAGGAGACTCCCATTCCATTCCTGACTTGGGAAGATCCACTGGAGAAGGGAAAGGCTACCCACTCCAGTATTCCTGCCTGGAAAATTCCACGGATGGAGATGCCTGGCAGGCTACAGTCCATGGATTCGCAAAGAGTCGGACATGACTGAATGAATTTCACTTTCACTCATGCTATGGTCTGCTGTTATTGTTGTTTAGTCACTAAGTCGTGTCCAACTCTGCAACCCCATAGACTATAGCATGGGCTTCCCTCATAGCTCAATTGGTAAAGAATCTGCCTGCAATGCAGGAGATTCCTGGGTCGGAAAGATCTCCTAGAGAAGGAAATGGCAACCCACTCCAGTATTCTTGACTGGAGAATCCATGGACAGAGGAGTCTGGCAGGCTACAGTCCTTGAGGTCACAAGAGTTGGACTTAGCGACTTAAGTGAGAGAGACTACAGCACATCAGACTCCTCTGTCCTCCACTATCTCCCAGAGTTTGTTCAAATTCATGTCCAGTGAGTCAGTGATGCTATCTAATCATCTCACCCTCTGTCACCCCCTTCTTCTCCTGCATTCAATCTTTCCCAGCATCAGGGTTTTTTATCTAATGAATCAGCTCTTCCCATCAGGCGGCCAAAGTACTGGAGCTTCAGGTTCAGCATCAGTCCTTCCAATGAATAATCAGGGATTTCCTTTAGGATGGACTGGTTTGAGCTCCTGAGAGTCCAAGGGACTCTCAAGTTAGGTCCTTACTGTTTCTGTCCTTTATCATGCCCATCCTTGCATGAAATGTTCCCTTGATAGCTCCAGTTTTCTTAAAGAGATCTCTAGTCTTCCCCATTCTGTTGTTTTCCTCTTATTTCTTTGCATTGTTCATTTAAGAAGGCCTTTTTGTCTCTCCTTGCTACTGTCTGGAACTCTGCATTCAATTGAGTATACCTTTCCTTTTCTCCTTTGCCTTTCACTTCTCTTCTCTCCTGTTGGGGCATAGACTTGGATTACTGTGATTATGAATGGTTTGCTTGGAAATGAACTGAGATCATTCTGTCGTTTCTGAGATTGCATCCAAATACTGCATTTCAGACACTTTTGTTGACAATGAGGGCTACTCCATTTCTTCTAAGTGATTCTTCCCCATAGTAGTATATACAAGGGTCATCTGAATTAAATCCACCCATTCTCATCCTTTTTAGTTCACTGGTTCCCAAGATGTCAGTGTTCATTCAATCTTGCTATCTCCTGCTTGACCATGTCCAATTTACCTTGATTCATGGACCTAATATTCCAGATTCCTACGCAATATTGTAATTTATAGCATCAGACTTGACTTTTATCACCAGACACATCCACAACTGAGCATTGTTTCCACTTGGCCCAACTGCTTTATTCTTTGTGGAACTATTAGTAATTGCCCTCTGCTCTTCCAGTAGCATACTGGACACCTACCAACCTGTGGGGCTCATCTTCTGGTGTCATATCTTTTTGCTTTTCCATACTGTTCATGGGGTTCTCCAGGCAAGAACACTGGAGTGGGTTGCCATTTCCTCCTCCAGTGGACCATGTTTCATCAGAATTCTTCACTATGACCCATTTGTCTTGGGTGGCCCTGCATGGCATGGTTCACAGTTTCATTGAGTTATGCAGGTACCTTCACCATGACAAGGCTGTGATCGATAAAGGGGATACTATGGTCTATTCAAGAACAATTTTTATATTAAAGATTTATGTTTTAAAAATGTAATAGTTATCCTCTAAGGTGAAGGATGTTCACCTCTTCTTTCTAACAGTATTACCCATTAACACAGACAGTAGCAGCAGACAGAACTGCCCGATTCCAGGAACATACAGCAGAAGTCTTCTCTTAGAGCCAGGATTTGAGGGAGATGAGAACTGATGAGAACAGTTCTCATCAGTTGGGAATAAGGAATGGTGATGCTGGGAGCTAGGAAACAGAGAGGAAGGTGAGATAGCCAGTTTTTGAATAAGGTACTTTACTTGAAGGGGGTGCACTTGAAAAGATTTCTTGGAGAATTTTGTTAAAGAAAGGTATATCTACCCAGAGGACAGTTTTCTGCTTAATAATTTATCAGGGCTCTGGCTCTTAATCCTGTGAGCAGCTACTGTCACTTTGAACCATGTCAGTGTTTCATGAAGTCTTTTTAAAAAAAAAAAAGAATAAATGGAGAAAAAGCAAAATTGAGATCTGGCCATGTTGCCAGAGGTAGAAAAATATTTGTTGATGTTGAAAGAGCATGATGAAACAATTGACAGAATTTATGATGATGGATTCCTAATAATCAGAAGCTCCTTGTAAGTAATTCTGATTTGCTTATTGGATGAATTAGGTTTTCTCTAGTGCTTCAAGGAAAATAGTTATTTTTAATAAATAGCTATTCTAAGAAAAAGTTAAAGACATATAAGCCAAAATGTTATCCAAGTAGATAAAGAAAAAAGGTATAAGGTATATGATGATCACTACATCTCAGAGCAGAACATATGAGAAAAACCTAATATTCCTGAATCTATTCTATCTTGACATCACTGTTTGTTTCAGCTAATGATCTGCATATGTGACCTTCCCCACCCACCATATACCCTCTCAATGGTTCATTGTACCCAAAGGACTTCATTTTTACTTGCTGTTTACCATCTTCCTTTCTTCAAAAAAGCAAGATAAAGTATCAAACTACATGAAATAGATCTTCAGTAATTCTTGAGAAATAAATGTGAGATTAAGTTCAATCATCCTAATTCCTATTAAGTCTTTAGTTATACATGCTACCCTGAGCTCCTAATTGAAATGATTATTATTTTTTTTTTAAATGATTATTATTGTCTGGGTGAGCTGCTCTTGTACCAAAGCTGACATGTACCTCATCTCCATCAGGTAACAATAACTATGTGAAGCAACAGTGAATAATAATTGCTGCTCTGTTTAGAAATTATGCCATGCCAATCTTGAAAAGGAGTATATTCACAGAAATAACATTAAATAAAATAGCTATTTTTAAAACAATGGATGGCTTAGCCAAAAATATTGTAATAGCTCTGTTACATAGCCTGAAAATTTATTAAAACTCTAAGACCTTTAATTTTGTCTGAAAATCCATCTAGACAATAAGAAATAATTTAAAAAACTGGAAACAGATTACTTGCCAATAATATTAATTTTCACATTAGTATATGCCTTAGCAGAATATTCTAAATGTATATATGTATATAAATATTTATATATATATACTTACATACATGTACATATGTGGCAGTGTATTTATTTATTCAGAATGTAGTCACCAGATCACTACCAAAGTGATGGTGATGAAATACTTTCCACGTTAAAAATTCATGCAGGCTGAGTAGTTTTTCCTTCAAATATGTGTTTTAAAATATATACTCCCAAGTGCATTAATTTTTGAAAGGGCATTTTAAAAATTCACAGCAAAGCTTCCATAATCTCATATGGAAATAATCACAATCGACATTTTAATGGATCTCCCCTCCATGTCTTTCGTAGACATGCATCTGTGTGTGTGCTTAGCTGCTCAGTCGTGTCCGATTCTTTGTGACGCCATGGACTGTAGCCCGCCAGGTTCTTCTGTCCATGGGATTCTCCAGGCAAGAATACTGGAGTGGGTTGCCATGACCTTCTCCAGGGGGATGTCCCTGACCCAGGGATCGAACTTGCATCGGCAGGTGGATTCTTTACTACTGAGTCACCTGGAAAGCTCAGACATGTATCTAGATACATACGAAAACAGCTTTGACTATTTAACTTAGTCATGGGGGGCAGGGGGGGAGCTGTGGAGCATGGAGACTATTTATATAGATTTGTGTTCTATATTGTGTATATATTGATACAAATATATAAAACAAAATTCAGATGACAGTGTAAAATTTTTCATGTCTTATCTGATTCACTTAACACTATAACATAAATATTTTCTCCTAGCTTCAAACTTCTTGAAGAACATAATTTTTAATGACTAAATAGTGGCCCATTGGTTAGCTATGCTATAATTTATTTAATAATTTTCTATTACTAGATATCTCAATATTCTAATTTTTCAATATTATAAATAGTGTGCCTAATACCACTGTGGTGCATGCATCTTCGATTATCCTCCTAGGATAAAATGTTGTTAGTCACTCAGTCTTATCTGACCCTTGGTGACCATGCATTGTAGCCTGCCAGGATCCTCTGTCCATGGGATTCTCCAGGCAAGAATACTGGAGTGTGTAGCCATTCCCTTCTCCGAGGTATCTTCCCAATCCAGGGATGGGACTCCGTTCACCCACATTGCAGGCAGATTCTTTACTGTCTGAGCCACCAAGGGAGTCCAGGATAAACCTTCAGATGTACAAAGTATGGATAACTACTTTAAGGCTTCTGACTCATGTTGCCAAGTTTCCCTCTTTTAGAAGACTCAACAATGATAATTTTCTAGACTTGAAAAGAGTTTGACCTACCTGTGAACTATTTTATTCATATGATGTATTTTATTTGAGGTTTCAATAATATGTTTCTGCTTTAAAAAGACAATACATGCTGTTTATAGAAGACTTAATAAAATTTATGAAGATAATGAATATAAATGTTCCAAACAAAAAAGGACCACTAAGATAAAAGCCTAATCAAAGGATGTTTTCCCTTATCACTGTCTAAATAAATAGCTTTGATGACACTTTAGCAAAAGTATTTTCACATGTGTTATTTGATTCTGACAGCTTTAAGAATCATGTAGTTATTCAGTTCAGTTCAGTTCAGTCGCTCAGTCATGTCCGACTCTTTGAGACCCCATGGACTGCAGCACACCAGGCCTCCCTGTCCATCACCAACTCCTGGAATTTACTCAATCTCATGTCCATTGAGTCAGTGATGCCATCCAACCATCTCATTCTCTGTCATCCCCTTCTCCTCCTGCCTCCAATCATTCCCAGCATCAGGGTCTTTTCCAGTGAGTCAGTTCACATCAGGTGGCCAAAGTATTGGAGTTTCAGCTTCAATATCAGTCCTTCCAATGAATATTTAGGACTGATTTCCATGTAGTTATTACTCTCCCCATTTTACAGATGAAGGAATTGAGGCCCAATAAGGATACTGCTCGAGGTCATGGACCTAACAGGAGGCCAATGAAGCTTATTCTATGTAGGCTCATGTGCCTTCCTCTATGCCTCTATCATTATCAACCTGCTCTGTGGTGTAAAAACAAACAGCCTTTTTGAAGCAATAGAGAGTGTAAGATTAAGTCAGCTTTTTTTTTTTCTCTCTTTTCTGCCTGACTTCACATCTAAGGACTAAAGTAGAAAATAATGATACAGGATGAACGAGTTTCTTCCTAATGACCCACATATACATATATGCATGTGTGCTCAGTTGCTTAGTTATGTCCTACTCTTTGCAACCCCATGGACTGTAGCCCACCAGGCTCCTCTGTCCATGGGATTTCCCAGGCAAGAATACTGGAGTGGCTTACCATTTCCTTCTCCAGAGGATTTTTCAGATCCATGGATTGAACCCATATCTCCTGCATTGGCAACTGGATTCTTTACCACTGAGCCAGCTGGGAATCCCCACATATAGATATGCTGCTGCTTAGCCGCTTCAGTCGTGTCCGGCTCTGTGTGACCCTATGGACTGCAGCCCGCCAGGCTCCTCTGTCCATGGGATTCTCCAGGCAAGAATACTGGAGTGGGTTGCCATGCCCCATCCAGGGGATCTTCCTGACCCAAGGATCGAACCCGGGTTTCCTGCATTGCAGGCAGATTCTTTACCGCTGAGACACCAGGGAAGCCCCATAGATAGATATATATTACTTCAATTTCAAAAGGTAAAGTTTAAACTGTTTTAAATCATGCTTTTGCTTTGATTATACATATCTTAGCAAATTAACTCACTGACTAAATTTGCCTCCTTGATGAAATCCAAATCTACTGTACTTAAGAAATCAAAATACACTTTAATGGTCCTGTGCAGAACAGAAAAAAGGCACGATCTCGTAAGTCAAATACTTCATTCCTTTGCAACATGAACCCGGACAATTAGTAAATTTGCTCTTTGTATGTCTTCTCCATGCTGGCATTTGGTCTATAGTAAAGATATTTTTACTTATGAATTTTAATAAGCTCACTGGTATGAATAATATTCACATTACTTAGATGCATTTTCTTAGTGTAGCTTCTTATACTAAGTAATATAACTTTTTTAAAACACAGTGGAGCTTTCCTTGAAAACTACTTTCACTGCATTTTGAATGAAATGTAGGCTCTCCTCATAAATCAAGCAAAAACCAATGAAATTGGAAGAAAATACGGTCAAAACACTCCTCCAATTTGCTGCTGTCCATGCCTTTCTCCTTTTTGAAACTCTCTTCCTTTCCCTTCTGAGATACTGTGCTCATTTTACAGCCCCATCTCCTCACATTTTGGGTAGGCGCCCCTCCTCCCTGCGCCTCCCCCATCTTTCCTGCACCCATACCTGCATCCATGCCAGTCACCACTCTTGTTCTTTATATGTTAACGGTGTCTGAATCTCCATCTCCAGGCCATGCCTCAACCCTGAGTTCCAGACCCTTATATCCAACTGCCTACTTAAAGATTCCCATATATGTCACATTCTCCTTGTAGCCAAAACTGAATTCATCATCTTCCCCTCAATATCAGTGAATGAAATACCATCCTCCATCCAGGTCCAAGTCAGAAAATTTGGATGCTTCTTAAATTCCTACTCTTCCTATGAACAAGAATGAAATCTTAGAGCTCCTATCTTCTAATGTGTCATAATATGCCCCTCCCTCTCCAGGCCCTTCCTGGCCAGGCTACTCTCTTGGACCAGTGCTCAGAAAACCCATTCCCTAGCAACCGTCTCCGCTGTTTTCTCTGCTTGATGGATTTTCCTCCTTCAGTCCATCCTCCATAGTGTTTCCTGAGTGCTCCTTTAAAAATATAAATCTGTACCACTTCACACTTACTAGGATAGCTTTTTTTTCTAATGGAAAGTAGCAAGTGTCAGCAAGGGTATGCAGAATTTGGATCCCTCACACATTTCTGGTGGGAATGTAAAATGGTGAAGGTACTGTGGGAAACAGTTTGGTGGTTCCTCAAACACTAAACATAGAATTACCATCTGACCCAGCAATTTGACTTGTAGGTATACAATCAAAAGAACTGAAATTGAAAGCAGAGACTCAGACACTTGTGCACCAGTGTTCATAGCAGTATTATTCACAACAGCCAAAAAGTGGGAACAACCCAAATGCCACCAACAAATGAATGGATAAATAGAATGTGGCATATATATACAATGGAATGTGATTCAGCCATAAAGAATGAAGTTCTGCTACATCGCTACAATGAAGGTGAAACTTAAAAACACTACACTAAGTGAAATAAGCCAGAGATAAAAGGACAAATATTGTATGATTCCACTTAGATGACATATCTAGAATAGGCAAATTCTCAGAGCTAGAAAGTAGGTGAGAGGTTACCAGGGGCCAGGGAAAGGATGGGAGAACTACTGTTTCATGGGTACAGTTTTAGAAACAGACAGTGCTGATAATGGTACAACACTGTGAATGTAATTAATGCCACTGAACTGTACACTTAAAAGTGGTTAAAATGTCAAATTTTATGTCACATATATTTTACTACAATAAAAAAGCTTTTTAAAAAGCACAAAGGTAAACAAAAGTTTTAAACACATAATCTGATCAAGTTCTCAAAATCCCTCCATTTTCCTTATTGCATTTAAGACACTTTTCAGGCTTTCCTGGTAGCTCAGACAGCAAAGAATCTGCCTGCAGTGCAGGAGACCCGGGTTCGATCCCTCAGGCGGGAAGATGCCCTGGAGAAGGGAATGGCAACCCACTCCAGTATTCTCGCCTGGAGAATTCCATGGACAGAGGAGCCTGGTGGCTAGAGGCCATGGGGTTGCAGAGTCAGACACGACTGAGCGACTAACACTTTCATTTCTCAGTTTGCTTTAGTTCAGCAGACATTCATAACCTAGTCCAAGTTTATCCCTCAAGTCTCACAGCTCACCCACCTCCTGGCATGTCCTCTGCCCTACTCTGACAATTACTTGTTTGCTGATCAGCAGTGCGCTGCTTCATACTCTGTGCTTCTGCACCGCTGTTCCTACTGCCTGAAATACCTTTTCTACTTCTGCTCTGAATGGCTCATCCTCATTTTTCACTCAAAATTAGCTGTCGTCAACATGTCCAGGAAGCTGTTCTTCACTTCTGATCTCATTATTATTTAAACACCCAACTTGTCTTGCTGCCATAATACCTAGGGTCCCTCTTATGGAAATTATCATGATATGTAATAATTCTTTGTATCTTTCCCATTTGTACAAATTTCTTGTGCCTTATCTATGTCTTTCTCCTCGTCTACTGGGTATCACATTGGTCAGTTCAATTCAATCGCTCAGTCGTGTCTGACTCTGCAACCCCATGGAAGGCAACACGCAGTGGATATACTGTAGATACTCAATAAATGTTTAATGTAGATATCACATTGTAGATATTCGATAAACGTTTAATGATTGCATTCCAAGGAATCTTCATCAATGACGCTTTTAAAGAATCAGGTCTCCATTCAAATCCAACAGTGCTGCAGAAAGGGTGAAACTTTTCGCACATTCTCTTCTATTTAAAAATATCCAATCCATGGCTAATTCATCTCAATGTATGACAAAAACCACTGCAATGATGTAAAGTAATTAGCCTCCAACTAATAAAAATAAATGAAAAAAAAAAAAAAAACCCAGCGTTTGGAGGCTCCACCAATGAAATCAACCTCATGCCCTGAGTCTCTGGGAAGGATGCTGCACAGTCAGTACTTTGTAAAATTCCTAAAGCACTTTGACATTCCTTATTTCATTAGAATGGAAAATGGTGAGATGAAAGAAGGATTGGGGCGGAGTGGAGAAGTTCTGGGATAGATAATGAGCAAATCAGGGGGTGTACACTCACTTTCTGCTGCCCACGCTATGTGCTCTTCAAGTAGGAATTATGTCACGTGAGAGTCCAATACTTACCTGCTGCAACTGGATGGTGACATTTCTACCCTTGTTGAAAGGAGACAGGTAAAGGGATTCTGAGAAAGTTTTTCCACCACTTTTTCTTTCATGATTCCTGACCTGGAAGGGAGGAGGCCTTGGGTCATCCCTACCAGATATGCTGGAAAATTGGACAGCATGGCTGTCTTCATGTGCTAGAAACACCCTCCCCCGTCCAGCTGCAGAGAGACAGGAAGTAGGGTGTAAATAGGAAACCACTACACTGACAATTAGGCATTCCAACTAGCTGGATAATGTTGGGCGAGGCACTTGATGTTTCTGAGTTGTAGCTGCTTCATTTTCTAAAATGTGTGTAATAAATAATCTTTAGGGTTGCCTTCTGCCAGAAAGCCATTATCTGTCAGTATATTGTCACTATATTTTCTAGGGCTCCATGAAATTAGTAAGATGCTTGTTCTTTGGAAGAAAAGCTATGATAAACTTAGACAATATGTTAAAAAGCAGAGACTTTGCTGACAAAGGTTCATATTGTCAAAGCTATGGTTTTTTCCAGTAGTCATGCATGGATGTGAGAGTTGGACCATAAAAGAAAGCTGAGTGCCAAAGAACTGATGCTTTTGAACTGTGGTGTTGGAGAAGACTCTTGAGAGTCCCTTGGACAGGAGATCAAACCAGTCAATCCTAAAGGAAATCCACCCTGAATATTCATTGGAAAGACTGATGCTGAAGCTGAAACTCCAATACTCTGGCCACTTGATGTGAAGAACTGACTCATTAGAAAAGACCTCGATGCTGGTAAAGATTGTAGGTAGGAGGAGAATGGGACAACAGAGGATAAGTCGGTTGGATGGCATCACCAACTCAATGGACATGAGTTTGAGCAACCTCCCAGCATTGCTGATGGACAGGGAAGCCTGGCATGCTGCAGTCCATGGGGTAGCAAAGAGTCAAACATGACTGAGTGACTGAACTAAACTGATATTGAACTGATATTTCTAGTATTTCCCTTGCCACTGCCCTCATTTTTCCAGTCACTCTCAAAACCACTGTAAGGTCTCAACTATGGCTCCTATGGGACATGTGTGATGCAAGTTCTATTGTGTGACTCTAGTTCTCACTTTAAAGTCATATTCTTATTTAAATATTAAGAAAGAACAATGGTACTTAAGATTCTAAAGAAAAAAGAAGAAAATAAAAAGGACTAACAGTGATTTCTAGCTCAAGGTGAATGAGCACTGTACTGCATGCATGCTAAGTCTCTCTAGTCATATCCGACTCTGCAACGCTATGGACCATAGCCCACCAGTCCCTCTGTCCATGGGATTCTCCAGGCTCCAAGAACACTGGAGTGGGTTGCCATTTCCTTCTCCAGGGATCTTCCTGACCCAGGGATCGAACCTGCATCTCTTACCTCTCCTGCACTGGCAGGCAGGTTCTTTTACCACTAGGACCACCTGGGAAGCCCAGAGCCACCAGGGAAAGGGACTACCACCTGGTAATTAGGGATGTAGAACAGCAAACAGTTCTAGGTAGACTGTCACTTGGTCAACCGTAGTTATTTATAATCATCCACTTTATTGGAAGAGACTAAGAGAATACAGACAATCAAAAACAGTATATAATCTTTATATACTTTTATGCATACAATCTTTATATACATTTATATGTGGCTTGGGAAGTGTGTGGGTCCTTACAGTTGAATAACACTGATTCTGCCATCTTGGAAACTGAAGCTAAATTATAAAGTGTACCAGGAAGAACTGAGTTAAAAAGAGTTGGATATTTCATTACATCCTCATCTTGTCCCCTACTCAGGACTTTTCCCATCACTCATGATGGAGAATGGTCATCAACTTTCACGTCCATGTAGAGAAAGTACCAGCTTAAAATGAATTGCTCTCAATTGTTATATTTATCTTGCCCTATTATTTTCACTATAAAAACCCTATGTTTGGGGAGATCGTTAAAGAATATTTGAAACTGCAAGCTGCATTAGGCAACAAATGAACAAGGAGATAGAGAGTATTCTCAACATTGATTTTATTATCTACTTAGCTTAATCAACATGGAAAACAAGAGCTTTAATTGATTAAAGTTGCCACAGATAACCAAGGGTTGGTTGTTACATAAATGATGAGTAAATCAAGAAGCAAGTTGTGATTATTTTCAGCCAAACATGCAAGATGTTTTCCTCAAGGTTAAGTATTTCAATTAGGAAGGCAAATATCTTGCTGTGACCTTAACTGTTAAGCAAATTAACCTCAAGTTCCTATGTCTTTCAGATCCCAGTTGACCTTCCTGGATAGCTAATAACCTTAAGAGTTGGATCAGTCAATGACAGAGGTAGCAGCCGGGTGGAAAAATAATCTACCTTGTCCAAATTTTTAATTACCATGTAATTTAAAGTAATAATTTAAAAGTAATCTTTTTCTAAAGAAGATACACACACACAATAGAATATTACTTAGGGATAAAAAAGAATGAAATAATGCATTCTGCTGATACATGGATGGACCTAGTGATGATCATACTAGCAAACTAAGTCATAAAGAAAAAGACAAATAACACATGATATCACTTATATGTAGAATGTAAATATGACACAAGTGAACCTATCTACAAAACAGAAATAGACTCACAGCCATAGAGAACAGACTTGCAGTTGCCAAGAAGGGGGTGTGAATTGAGAATTTGGGACTAGCAGATTCAAACTATTATAGACAATCTAGAATGGATAAACAACAAGGTCCTATTGTACAGGTCAGCACAAGTATTTAACATCCATATATTAAATCATAATAGCAAAGAATATATATGTATCTGTATAACTGAATCACTTGGCTATACACCACACACTAACACAAAATTATAAATCAACTACATTTCAATTAAAAAAAACAAAAAGAAACTAAAGGTTTTAATTTGTTTAAAAAGTAATATTTTTCTTTTCTCCCTAGGGTTGAAGATTTCCTGGGGTTACAGGAACAAACTCACTTACTGTGATGGGTCTGAATCACTCCGTCTTTGTTTTCTTGGCAACTCTGTCACATGTGGGCTGAAGGATATTGGTTTAGTCCAGGGGCTTAGATGACTTGAAACCACAGAAGCAATGCACTGGTTCCCTTCCATCAATACTTTACCTGTGAGACATAAACTGCAATAAAGCATCTGTTTGAAACATTAATTTTCACTTTATATATCTAGATCACATATTTTAAATGGCTTTATACTTTGATATTTTAAAATGTCAAGTAAACAATAAAATGGGGGGACTTCTCTGGTGGTTCAGTGGTTGAGAATCCCCTGCCATATGCCACAGTGCACACATCTTAGTGGCACAACTAAGCCCATGTGCCACAACAATGAGCCTCTGCTCCAGAGCCCACTTGCCACAACTACTGAAGCCCGTGTGCCCTAAAGCCTGTACTCCACAACCAGAGAAGCCACCGCAATGAGGAGCCAGCACACAGCTAGACAGTAGCTCCTGCTCACCTCAACTAGAGAAACCTACAGGTAGCAATGCAAACCCAGTACAGCCAAAATTAAATAATTTTTTAATGGAATGGAATGAAAGACATGGAATGAAAGACTAATTATACACAACCAAATATTAGTGAACAATGTATTGTTAGTCTGTATCTTTATTTTCCCTAATTATAACAAATATATATGGATATTGCAGGAAATATGGAAAACACAAAAAGGTGGAATGGAAGGGGGAAATCCAAATTTCACCAACTAATGTTACTATTTAGAATTAATTCCTTTTAGAATTTCTTCTATAGTTGTTTTTATAGTAATTGAAATCATAGTGTATATTCTGCATTATTTACATATCATTATGATAATAACTTTACAGTGTTATTACAAATTCTTTATAGATGATTCTAATAACTGCATAATATGCTATCATGCAGCTGTGTCATAGCTACTTAACCACTCTTCTATTGTTGAAATCCAAATTTGTTTCTAATTTTTTCTCCATCATAAATATGCAGTGTGCTTTTATCTTTGTGTATAAAACTTTTATCTAGTGGCTAATTCTTTTCATCTTCTACTTATTTCTTGTGGATAGTATCCCAGAAATAGGTTAACAAGGTCACAGGACATGAATATTTTTAGTCTTGAATTGATTAAATTCAATTAAACCTGAACTGACTTAGAGGGAAATTTTAACCCTTCAGTTCAGTTCAGTTCATTACAGTCACTCAGTCGTGTCCGACTCTTTGCCACCCCATGAACCGCAGCACGCCAGGCCTCCCTGTCCATCACTAACTCCCAGAGTCTACCCAAACCCATGTCCATCAAGTCATCCAACCATCTCATCCTCTGTTGTCCCCTTCTCCTCCTGCCCTCAATCTTTCCCAGCCTCAGTGTCTTTTCAAGTGAGTCACCTCTCCGCATCAGGTGGCCAAAGCATTGGAGCTTCAGCTTAAATATTAGTCCTTCCAATGAACACCCAGGACTGATCTCCTTTAGGATGGACTGGTTGGATCTCCTTGTAGTCCAAGGGACTCTCAAGAGTCTTCTCCAACACCACAGTTCAAAAGCATCAATTTTTCGGGGCTCAGCTTTCCTTATAGTCCAACTCTCACATCCATACATGACCACTGGAAAAACCATAGCCTTGACTAGGCGGACTTTTGTTGGCAAAGAAATGTCTCTGCTTTTTAATATGCTGTCTAGGTTGGTCATCACTTTCCTTCCAAGGAGTAAGCGTCTTTTAATTTCATGGCTGCAGTCACCATCTGCAGGGATTTTGGAGCCCAGAAAAATAAAGTCAGCCACTGTTTCCACTGTTTCCCCATCTACTTGCCATGAAGTGATGGGACCAGATACCATGATCTTAGTTTTCTGAATGTTGAGCTTTAAGCCAACTTTTTCACTCTCCTCTTTCACTTTCTTCAAGAGGCTCTTCAAATTTAATGAGTTAATCATTCATTTTCAGAAATCAGGAAAAATTAACTAAAATAAATCTAAAGAATTAGGAGAAAGGAAATCATTAAAATAACACTAGAAATACTGGATTAGAATACAAATTAGTACAGATCAAAAAAGCTAAATATAGGTTCTTCCACATTGGAAACTCTAATAACCCTATGGCAAGACTTTTTTTCAGTTCAGTTCAGTTCAATTCAGTCATTCAGTCGTGTCTGATTCTTTGCGACCCCATGGACTGCAGCACACCAGGCATCCCTGTCCATCACCAACTCCTGGAGTTTACTCAAACTCATGTCCATTGAGTTGGTGATGCCATCCAACCATCTCATCCTCTACCATCCCCTTTTCCTCCTGCCCTCAATCTTTCCCAGCATCAGGGTCTTTCTTATGAGTCAGTTTTTCCAATCAGGTGACCAAAGTGTTGGAGTTTCAGCTTAAACATCAGTCCTTCAAATGAACACTCAGGACTGATCTCCTTCAGGATGGACTGGTTGGATCTCCTTGCAGTCCAAGGGACTCTCAAGAATCTTCTCCAACACCACAGTTCAAAAGCATCGATTCTTCAGTGCTCAGCTATCCTTATAGTCCAACTCTCACATCCATACATGACTACTGGAATAACCATAGCTCTGACTAGATGGACCTTTGTTGGCAAAGTAATGTCTCTGCTTTTTAATATGCTATCTAGGTTGGTCATAGCTTTTCTTTCAAGGAGTAAGCCTCTTTTAATTACATGACTGCAGTCACCATTTTCAGTGACTTTGGAGCCCAAGAAGATAAAGTCTGCCACCGTTTCCACTGTTTTCCCACCTATTTGCCATGAAGTGACGGGACCAGATGCCATGATCTTAGTTTTCTGAATGTTGAGCTTTAAGCCAACTTTTTCACTCTCTCCTTTTACTTCCATCAAGAGGCTCTTTAGTTCTTCCTCACTTTCTGCCATAAGGGTGGTATCATCTGCATATCTGAGGTTATTGATATTTCTCCTGGCAATCTTGATTCCAGCTTGTGCTTCATACAGCCCAGCATTTCTCATGATGTACTCTGCATATAAGTTAAATAAGCAGGGTGACAATATACAGCCTTGACAGACTCCTTTTCCAGCAGAACCAGTCTGTTGTTCCATGTCCAGTTCTAACTGTTGCTTCCTGACATGCATACAGATTTCTCAAGAGGCAGGTCAGGTGGTTTGGTACTCACATCTCTTTAAGAATTTTCCAGTTTGTTGTGATCCACACAGTTGAAGGCTTTGGAGTAGTCAATAAAGCAGAAGTAGATGTTTTTCTGGAACTCTCTTGCTTTCTCAATGATCCAGTGGATGTTGGCAATTTGATCTCTGGTTCCTTGGCCTTTTCTAAATCCAGCTTGAACATTTGGAAGTTCACCATTCACATAGTGTTGAAGCCTGACTTGGAGAATTTTGAGTATTATTTTACTAGTGTGTGAGATGAGTGCAGTTGTGTGGTAGTTTGAGCATTCTTTGGAATTGCCTTTCTTTGGGATTGGAATGAAAGCTGACCTTTTCCATTCCTGTGGCCACTGCTGAGTTTTCCAAATTTGCTGGCATATTGAGTGCAGCACTTTCACAGCATCATCTTTCAGGATTTGAAATAGCTCAACTGGAATTCCATCACCTCCACTAGCTTTGTTCGTAGTGATGCTTCCTAAGGCCCACTTGATTTCACATTCCAGGATCTCTGGCTCTAGGTGAGTGATCACACCATCTTGATTTTCTGGGTCATGAATATCTTTTTTTGTATAGTTCTTCTGTGTATTCTTGCCACCTCTTCTTAATATCTTCTGCTTCTGTTATATCCATACCACTTCTGTCCTTTATTGACCCCATATTTGCATGAAATGTTCCCTTGGTATCTCTAGTCTTTCCAATTCTGTTGTTTGCCTCTATTTTTTGCACTGATCACTGAGGAATGTTTTCTTATCTCTCCTTGCTATTCTTTGGAACTCTGCATTCAAATGGGTATATCTTTCCTTTTCTCCTTTGCTTTTCACTTCTCTTCTTTTCACAGCTATTTGTAAGGCCTCCTCAGACAGCCATTTTGCCTTTTTGCATTTTTTCCCTTGGGGATGGTCTTGATCCCTGTCTCCTGTACAATGTCACGAACCTCCATCCATAGTTCATCAGGCACTCTGTCTATCAGATCTAGTCCCTTAAATCTATTTCTCACTTCTACTGTATAATCATAAGGGATTTGATTTAGGTCATACCTGAATGGTCTAGTGGTTTTCCCTATTTTCTTCAATTTAAGTCTGAATTTGGCAATAAGGAGTTCATGATCTGAGCCACAGTCAACTCCCGGTCTTGTATTTTCTGACTGTATAGAGATTCTCCATATTTCCCTGCAAAGAATAAAATCAATCTTATTTTGGTGTTGACCATCTGGTGATGTCCATGCGTAGAGTCTTCTCTTGTGTTGTCTGAAGAGGGTGTTTGCTATGACCGGTGTGTTCTCTTGGCAAAACTCTATTAGCCTTTGTCCTGCTTCATTCTGTGCTCCAAGGCCAAATTTGCCTACTATACCAGGTGTTTCTTGACTACATACTTTTGCAATCCAGACTTTTTTTTAAAGGAAAAGAAAAGAAAGAGGGCATATATGAATAAACATAGGAATGAAGGTGGGGGTCATAATTTTAGATGCTCTAGAGATTTAAAAGATAATAAATTCTCATGAAAAACATTATTCTAAATAGTTGAAAATTTACATGAAATGGAAAAAATGCTAGAGAATGTTTTTGAAGTATAGTTGATTTATAATATTGTGTTAATTTCAAGTGTACAGCAAAGTTATTCAATTCAATTTTATATATACTTTTTCAGTTTCCTTGCCTTATAGGCTAATGTAAAATATTGAATATGGTCCCCTATGCCATACAGTAAATCACTGTTGTTTATTTTATATATAGAAGTGTGTATCTGTTAATGTTATACTCTTAATTTATCCCTTACCCTCACTTTTCCTTTGGTAAACACAAGGAGATCCAACCAGTCCATCCTAAAGGAGATCAGTCCTGGGTATTCATTGGAAGGACTGATGTTGAAGCTGAAGCTGAAACTCCAGTACTTTGGCCACCTCATGCGAAGAGCTGACTCATTGGAAAAGACCCCGAGGCTGGGAAAGATTGAGGGCAGCAGAAGGGGACGACAGAGGATGAGATGGTTGGATGGCATCACCGACTCGAT